GAAAATCCTTTCTCGTGCAGAAATTTCAATAATGTTTTTTTTTGGGGATGCAAGATGCTCATAGGTAAAATTTTGTACACATGCAGAAAGTGCCTTTACCACCAGGGTTGGCAAAAATCCAGATAATTGTATTGTAGTGGATAGAAAAATGTATTTTTGAGATGAGATGACTACAGAGGTATCAAAGAGTGCCTAAGAACATTTGGAAGATTTCTGATAACTTCTAGAACATCACAGGGCTTCAAAATCATTAGTAACCAATTAAAAACTTTGGAAAGCATTTTGAAAAGTTTCAGAATGCGCTAGTGCCAAGTTAGAAATGTTTAACCATCTTATGATGCTCTAGAGCAATTTAGAAATTTGATAAGTTTAATAAGACTTTCAATTAAATTTGCAATCCTCCTGCATTTATTTGAGACAAATTCTCGGACAAATTGGAATCTTGAACAACATTGTAAAAGTACAGAACCAATTTAGAATTTGAGAGACATTCTAGAACAAACCAGAACACTTCTGAACTTTGGGCAACATTTTAGAAAATTTTTGGAATACTCTAGAACACTTTACAAATCATATGAAGCTTTTGAATTTTTTAGAATTTTTAGAATATCTGGAGAATCGTCACATGACATTTTAGAACTAACTTAAAACATCCATGAACATATTAGAACAGTCTAAAATACTTCTTAACTTAATTAGAACTACCAAAAGGCACTTAAGAATATTTAGTAGATTTCTGATAACTTCTAGAACATTCCATGCTTCAGAAGCAACCTACTAAAAATTTTAGAAAGCATTTTGAAAAGCTTCAGAATGCGCTTGTTGTTGGAACATTTTCAATCATTTTGAGACGCTATAGATCACTTTACAATAAACTTAGAAGTTTGATAACCTTCAGAAGACTTTCAATTCAATTCTCAATCCTCCTGCATTTGTTTGAGACAAATTGGAACTTTCAAGAACACTGTAAAACACTACAGATCACTATTGAATCAAATTAGAATTTCAGAAATATTCTAGACCAGAACACTTCCAAACTTTCAGGTACGAATCATATGAAACTTTGCTGATAAAAAATGTTTGTTTATTTCTCCGTTAAATATTTTGATGGGATTTTTCTGTGAATTTTTGTGTTAACTTATATGGAAATACCAATCAAAACTCCATCCAGAAATCCAACTAGAAAAAATTGTTCGCCAAGCCTGTTTACCACTCTTAACAGCTTGACCAAACTATATTAATAACTATTTTGATAAGAAGGCAAGATTTTATTATTGGAATACCTCCCTTTGTTTCAGAACATGGAGGAAAAGACACCAGGAAAAGAAAATCATTATTTTCCTTTAAGACTACGCTCAAAGTTTGCCCACAAAAGCCACGGATTCGTACCGAGCAAAAAACACAAAAAATGGAAAAGATGGTTTTTGTCCAACTACAGTCAAACAAGTGAAACATCCATAACGGATTTTAACAAAATTTTATTCCAAATGTATATTAATATGAAGCAACTTTTGGATTCGGATATTGGCGCACGCCCAGATCTGTTGCGGTGTTTTCAGAAAATAATCCCAAAGGAATATTACGGCTCTCTCTTTAACAGACAAAAACTATTCTTTATTATCAAAAGAATTATAACGCAAACCCAAGGCGAATACATTCATATTTCTGCACTTTATAAAAATTTTCAATATGAGGACATGAAGTGGTTGACAACGGAAGACAATTTTATGGATCAAGTTTTGCAAGCTAATATTTTGCTCATACAAACTGTGATAAAGCCTTTTATACGTTCTTGCTATTATTTTTTGGCCAGTTTTAAAGACTATGGATTTTCTGTGATTCCCAGAGGTAAATTGTAGGCAGAATGAGGTTCTCACCAATACAAAACTTTTCTTCTTATACAGTTTGGAATCCTTTAGAAAGGTTTTTTTTTTTTAAAACAAATATCAGTTAAAACAGCAGTGAATTATTATTTTACATTATTGTCCTTTTAAGGCGAAGGCGATGCTTTCTTTGATAAATCGAAAAACAAAATATGTAAATTAGGACACATACGTTTAGTTGAAGCGACTGAATCCGTTACCCAGACGCCATTAGGAAATCTGAGTCTTCTTCCAAAATTCGGGTTCTCAGACACTGAATATAGACCGATTGTACGAACTAATAATAAGGTCCCAATCAACAAAATTGAAATTGACATTAAAGCTATTAAATTAGGATTAAAACGCATGGCGAAAAAGCAACAAATAATCGGAGGCACATTGCAGTTTTATGATAAATGGATCAACTTTCTTCAGAAGAGTGAAAACAAAAAAAGATTATATGGTAAACAACTTATTTGTCTATTATATAAGTTAAGATGTACCTATGGATATTATTTGTTTAAGAAAGTTTGGCCTTAAAAGGTTGATTTTACTTTATGTTATACAATTTTAGCTATTAAATTGGATCTGTTCGATGCATTTGGCTTTATTAACATTGACAAACTGACAGAACTAATAATTCAACCCAGTAAAGAAGGTTTTCTATTGAATCATGAAGTGAAATATTTGTTGGATCTTCTGTCCAACCAATATGTTACCATAAGAGGACAGAAAGAAATTTATAAGTGGGAACATGGTAATTAAATTCATTTTGGACAGTTTTAGTTGAATACTTTCAAAGTAAAGTTCCCATCACTGTTCAATTTTCTGTGTAACTAAGTGACCAGTCCTTGTACAAAATCGAAAAGTTATTAATTATTCAAAATATATTTTAGGTTTACTCCAAGGATTGCATCTTTCACCTCTTCTATGTGAACTTTACCTCAGCCACATTACCAAAGATTGTTTCAAGGGTTTCGATATGACCAATTGCTTCTTTCATCGGGCCGTCGATGATATTCTATTTATATCGACTAACGAAGATAAGCTAAATGAATTCGAACTGCTAGTCTTTTCAATGGAAATACTTAATCAGGGCAAGACACAACGTTATCTAGAGGAAAATGCGGACGATCCAAATATACTGTTTTGCGGGAAACTAATAAATATGGAAACTAGGGAAACTTGCACACCACATAATTATAAGAAAGGAGATGACTTGAGCTGCAAATTCAAATTGTGGAATAGGAAAAAACAGTTTGGGGATGATGATGCTTATAGTTTTCTTGAAAATGCAATGCAGTAAGTATTTATTTGTTTAGAGTAATTATTTTGTGTTTTCACACTTATTTTTTGTCCAGGTATTCTCCTCTCAATCACTTCTTCTCCAAATTTGACCTGAATACTGTTTGCAACAGTGTAGATACGGTAGCGAAAAATATATTTCATGGAATGTGTTACGTAGCTATCAAATTAATATTTGCCGTAGAGACTATTCAATATCTCTTTGTTGACGGAAAAAATTGTTGCCAAGTAGTAATTAAGATTATACAGTATATTCAACGTCGTTACCCTAGATACATAGAAAAGACAGTTCAGAAGAGCAAAGGAAAATATTATAAAGATATTTTGTCCGAGAAGCTTTTCAAGTTTTTGTGTTACAAAGCGTTTTATGTTATTTTTCAAAAAAAAAGTGCCACTTATAAAGAAGTATTGACATATTTAAAGGAGAAATCAGAGGTTTATATACTCGACTTAAAATATAATGTTGACATACAATACATTTCAACAATTCCAGATGCTTTTCGAAATGTTAAATGTGGTAGAAATACCGTATCGTATTAAGTGTTTATTTTGTTTCTTATGTAAAGTATTCTATATTTTGTCTGTGATTGATACAACTCTTGCGTTATTAAGTTTTTTGATTTGGTTTTTATATGTAGGTATCAATATTAGAGTCTCTATGCTTATTTTGTTTACCAAGTCTAATAGGTACTTGCTGCCAGTATTATTTTTTTATTTTTCTAATAAACATTTAAATAAAACAGTAAAGGTGTCTTATTAATTTCTCATTTGACGGGCAAATTGAAATAGGGATTTGTTTCATAACATAAATTTGAAAATATCAGATGTACGTAAGGTTCGTTTCACCAGGGTTATATAGTAATTCGAAGCCCAGTGTAAAGAGTGACAATAATGTAATAATAATTGTGAAACACTAGATTTAGAGGGTTGGCATACTAATTTAATTGGCTTCAATTAGAGCCTTATTGCGTTGAAATCAGAAAAAAATTAAGGGAGCTGTGAGATAAAAACCATCTCGGTGTCATTTTTGGAAAATATTCAATGTTCCATTTATTAAATTTTGAAGCTTCTCAGGTGCAAAACTGTTGAAAATTGAAACAAAATATACAATTTTGTGTAGTTAAGTAAACACAAAAACTATCGCAATATCCCGCAAAAACCCAGTAGAAATTTTCAGAAACCCAGATTCCCCAACCCTGAGTGGTGTCAATTTATTCTTGTATTCCGTTTCATAATATGTAATACTTCATGCATTCATGGATTTGGAACAAAAAACCATTTTCCACAACTAATATGCTCCTGGATTAGGGTTATTTTTCTAAAACACCTTTTTGTGAGGACCGATTCTATTTCTGTTGAAGTTTTCCAAAAGATGACCCTATATCACGTTCTTTATTGTATGAAACGATGTACTATATACATGCATATTATAAGTTATAGTAATATAATTATACCTAGTAATATAACATTTTTCAATTTTCTATCCTAATGCCAAGGTACATAAAATTTTCCCAAATTTTAACAGTAGTAGCTTTCTGCTCTGTGCCTGAATAGACAAATTATTAAAAATTACAAAATGCTAAAGACAAATATAAAAGTTCTCTATTAAATACAACAAATATACAACGAAAGACACATTAATAAAGATTACAAAATGCTTAAGATAAAAGTACTCTATTGAATACAACAAAAGATACATTACTAAAGAGTACAAAATGCTTAAGATAAAAGTACTCTATTAAATACAATGAAAATACAAATTACTGAAGATTACAAAATGCTAAAGACAAAAATAAAAGTTCTCTATTAAATACAACAAAATACAATGGATCTTTAATTATAAATGTTTTCCACTACAACCGCTTCATTGCCTTCATATTCACCTTCAAAAAGCTGTTCAGAATATTCAATAGGCACTTCTTCTGCAACTAAATCTGTTGCATAATAATCTGAATCCTCAATAGGCACTTCCTCTGCAACTTCTGCTGACTCTTTTGGATAATAATCTGAATCTTCAATATCATCAGCCTGAGCTTCTTCAATTTTAAGTCTTTCTAGCTCTCCTCGATGACTTTTTTGCAAATGGAACCTAAACAAATTACACAATAAAAAAAATAAAATATTTTAAACATCAGAAGTCTCACTTCAAAATATCACTATCTACGAAACCTTTGTGGCAATAGCTGCACTCATATTTCCCTTGATGACTATGCATGTGTAATTTAAGATTATACTTGGAAGTAAAGCCAGAGCCACAATATTTACATTTGTGAGGACGTTCACCAGTGTGCGCAAGTTGATGTTTTTTCGTTTCGCCTACAGATCTGAATTTTTTATCACAAAACTCGCAGGAGTATGGCCTCTCACCAGTATGAGCGAGTTCGTGACGTTTTAATGAATTTGTAGTATAATATCTAGAATGATAATTATTATTAAGCTACCAAAAAAATAAACTAACAATTGACCTTTTTGGACAATAGCTGCACTGTAAATTTCTTTCGCCAGCATGTATTTTCAAATGATAATACAAAGCAGTTTTATAATGAAATCCTTTGCCGCAAATTTGACATATGACCGCAGTTTGATCCTTGTTGTGAGTCTTCGCGTGCTTTGTGGCATTGTCTTGCGTGAAGAATTTTTTGTCGCATTTATCACAACCATAGTTTCTACCACTATGTTTTTTTATATGATAAATTAATTTTTTTCGATTTTCAAAAATTTCATCGCAAATATGGCATTTGTAATCCTTTTCTGATGGTAAGTAGTTTGGTGCGTCATCAAAATATTTTATTTCATTCATATGACTTTCTTTGATGTGAGTTAAAAGTTGTATACGATTGCTGTAAGTAATAATATTAGATGCTATGTTGATACAATCTTTAAAACTTACTTATAACTAACATCACAAACGTAACAATGAACATCTTGTGTGTTTTTATTACATTTACGACTGTGTTTTTTAGCTCTTGCTAGGGTAGATATTGGCTTTAAGCAATAAGGACATTTAAAATTTAATTTTAATGCAGATCGGATTGCAGATTTTTCATTTTCATTTGACAACACTAAACTATCAAAAGCTTTCATGTTAGGTTCATTCATGAAAATGGTTTCATCTTCATATTTAGGATCTAAAGATTTTTCTAATTTGAATATTAGATCTGCTCGAGGATCTGGTGGAGGATCTGATGGAATATCATCATGATTCTCATCGTCATTGTCAGGTTCATCTGGTATTTCTTCTAAAATTGATATTACTTAATATGTTTTTACTATAAAAATAAATTCAATAAACCTTGTATGATTTTCTCAATTACTAAAGATGGTGCTTCTACTTGAAGTTTAGGTTTGTGGTATCCTTTTTCAACAAAAGTTGCAGTAATTGTTGTGCCAAGGTTTTGTAAAAAGCCATCAAAAGTGAATAAATCGTCTTCCTCTTCGCTTTCAATGACACATAATTCTTTGATATCAAATTTTTGAGTGCCTACAAATAATTCTACAGGAGCTTTAACATCTTTGTTAGTTCTAATTGGTGCCTCTTCTACAAGTTCATTATTAACTGAAAATTAAATTTCAAAATACCATCAACAATAAAATCACTGATGAATATGAGAACTCACCAATAATATCATCTGAAAACTCTTCTTCAGATTCCTTTGGTTGTTTTGAAATATTTCCTTTTGGCTCTATAAGCATTAATCATTAAATAATTGTATAAACAAACAATTTACTTACCAATATCAATCACAAATTGTTCTACAGCTTTATTTAGTTGTCCAGAAAGAATTTCCTTAGACTTTTTAAACTGGGCAATCAAATCATAAGCAATCTTCAAAAACCCAAAACACATTCTACAAACCGTATCTGGATAATTTGCACCTCTGGGTACAGTTTCGTTGGCGAGCAATTCCAGAGCCTCGACAACTTGGATTTCCGGATTCTGGATTTCGTCTAAAGGGGCACCCAAAGAAGACCCGGTTTTCAAACAGTGAGAGAGGCATATTCGGCATTGTGTTTGCGTACAGAGATAGTCGTATTTTCTTTTGTATCGTGTCGCTGGTGGAGACATTATTTCCTTTTTTCGATTGCAAGAAAATTGAAAATTATCACACAAAATTTAAAGGGGGAAATTTATAAAATAGGAGACAACACAACAGAAAACTTAACCTCAATCTCAAAACAATACACTACAGTGTTGCCAAATGGCAATGCCAAGCCAAGGATTGATCAAAAAGCGATCCGAAACGGGTTCACATGTTCGGCTCAAAACAAAGCGTTGCTCTAGACAAGATTAGTGTGTTCGTATTGAGCAATAGAATGCTCTCAAATCTCGCACGGAGCGCTCTCTCTTGCTCCGTCAATTTCGATGGATCAAAGAGTTTGGTCAGAACGGCTATTGATTTCGAATGGTGTGCCCCTTTGTGTGCCTTCGTTTGGAATATAATCACTGTCGAGGAAATCCCGTAAACTTCATCGTCCATACGGGGAGTGTTCTGAGAGCAGTGAAGCCGAAAATGTTATTAAAATCCCGAGTTACTCTACTTTGCGGTATGACGTCATCAGTCTACTCGCAGTGCAAAAAATTAAATGTTTAAGAATGCCTAGGGTCTCTTGGAGTTGTCCGCATCCGAGATTAGCTTACGGAACGCGATTATGGAATGGACAGGCTCAAGCATTGGGCTCAAAAAGATTCAAATATGTAATACGATATGGCATTTAACAACAATTTTTATGTTCTGAGATTGCACTAAATTTGCACCATTCGTTAAGGTTTAGAGCAACTAGAGCAACTACAGTTCGATGTTCGATCACTTTCATAATCATGATTCTCTTAATAAGGCTGCTTTGTCAATAACAATTTAGTTGAGACAATAAAGCATAATTTGATTTGATTTGATTTGGATTTATTCGAAAGAGATAAAAACTGCATTAAAGTTATTCGCATAATTTTTCGTTTCTATAATCGTCAAAATTCATTGGCCATACTACTGGTCAGAGGGCCTCTGAGGATTCCTAACCCACGATTCGTCGTGCATTCGGCACCTCGATCTGAGTTCTCCGAGCTTGAATTTACCGTTCGCTTACTTAAAAAGTGTGCTCGGTGCAGGCTCATTCGCGTTCGTTCAATAAAATTTCGAACGCTCTGATACAAGTTGTATTCCTTTCACACCTAGGAGGAGCTCCGGAACAGCTCCGGGGCTTCACGCGCTTATTCCTTAAACTGCTCTTATTTTTCTCGTCCCTGAAGGTCCAACCTGTTTGTTAAAATTGTCAAATGTCAAATCAGATGTAAAATAACAATTATAACAATAGTTGTATTCCTTTCACACCTAGGAGGAGATCCGGAACAGCTCCTGGGGCGTTACGCGCTTATTCCTTTCGAAAAGTGTTTGTCGCACCTGAGTGCTGAAGCCCGATTCAAACCATTTAAATCCATGACAGCCAGTGCATGTGTTCCTTTCAAATCGGGGTCGACTAACACCAGAGCGAGTAGCTCTAGTGTTTCAAGCTCTTGAAAGGAATACAACTAAATAGGTCCTGTTTCTGCAGTAATCAAGAACCATTCAGAGCGAATTTGATTGGTTGAAAACAGTCAGATGCAGTCGGAAAACTAGTTTCAACTCAACCAATGGAATTCACCCTGGCTGGTTTGTGATTTCTGCAGAAACAGACCTGTTATTATTTCCAAGCGTTCGGGTGCAACAGAGAACGTGCAAAGCACATAGAGTATGATGGGTGTGAAGTGTTCTAGGAGCTTCTCACTTTGCACCCGAAAACAGCTATTGGTGTGTCACCATTTCCAACCTCATAACTAGGTAGGCAGCTGTCGTGTAGTGTATGTCGTAGTTTAGAATTTAAAATGAAAAAAATTATTATTTAATTTTGATTTAACATGATAGACAAAGAGGAAGATGAAAACGAGATCTAAAAAAGGGTTGTTATAAAGTAGTATGCATTAAGCAAAAGCCCGCGGAATCATAACCTGTAGTGCAAACAGCCTACGCCAAGGCGAGAAACGACATGTTGGATACGTCACAATTGTTGGGGGGCTCCAGATTTGTTCCACACAGGCCTTATAAGAATAGGCTATCCTGTAGTAGTAGCGTGTATTATCCTTGGGATAGTTTCGTCTATCGTCAGGTATTTTTGAAGAACGGTTTATTTGCCTTGACACGATGCAATATATCGTGGCTGCGATTGGGTTGACGCTCGGCGGAGTGAGCAGAGCAAAGAGCAATCACGGAGTAACGTGACGTTAATAAACCGCGTATGACTGCATTCACCAGAATGATGCACCTCCACGGATGCGGTGATTAAAATTCACTAATGCCAAAAGGTTTGTTCCAACCAGTCAAAAAACCGTCCCAGAACGGTTTCGCAACCACTCTGTATACGAATTTCGGTTTCTGCGCAAAAATTTTAGGTTTTGCGCAGAATCCTGACGGTAATAGGTCTGTTTCTGCAGAAATCACAAACCAGTCAGAGTGAATTTCATTGGTTGAAACAAGTTTTCTGAGTGTTTCTGACTGTTTTCAACCAATGAAATTCGCTGTGACTGGTTTGTGATTTCTGCAGAAACAGACCTAATATTACGGTTTCCTGCCGCCATATTGGTGTTTTACCATTTACGATGTCATAGCAAAGTCATCAGCTGTTTAAACAACCAACGTGAAGGCGAGAAATAACATGCTGCCTACGTCACGAGTGGTAATTTGCATGGGGAGTGAAGGGGGGAATTTGTTACACACAGGCCTTACGAGGATAGGCCATCCAGTAGTAGTAGTGTGTATCATCCTTAGCCTACATCAGCTGAATTCAGCCACACGCGAGAAGTGAGAAGTGCACCGTGTCAAGAGTCAATACAAATAAACGCCATGTTGAAAATATATCGTGACGGTTTTTTGTCACGCTAGCTCGTGACTCGCAAGAATGATACACACTACTACTACAGGATAGCCTATCCTCATGAGGCCTGTGTGGAACAAATCCCCTCCCCCCTACACCCCGCAAAATCACAAGTTGTGACGTAGGCAGCATGCTATTTCTCGCCTTAACGTAGGCTGTTTAAACAGCTGACGACTTAGGCAATTCAAACCACGTGACATTCAAGATGGCGTGGCGGCCACACATGGGCCAAAAAACACAAAAAAATATCTGGTTTCTGCCCGAGTTAATAGTTTAGGTACCTAGTCAACAAATATTTTATTAAATAAGGAAAATCAAAGTTGTAAGCAAAACTGTATGCAATAGTTATTTTCCTAACAAGTGCGCAAAGTGATACTTTCCCGCACGAAAAAGCAGTTAGACGAACGATGCGAAGCGGAGTTCGGATAAGCTTTGAGTGCGGGAAAGACACTTTGCGCAAGTGTTAGGAACAATATTTTTTCTACGAGTATCTTGAAAGAGTAGACTTTGAATTGTTAAAATATTAAAAAAATCAATCAAATCAAATCTTCAAAAATCGTTTAAAATCTATTGGAATTCCTCAGAATGTCTTTTAAACTAAATCCCCAAAAATCTTTTAACATCTTCTGGAATTTCTAAAATACCAGCTAGAATATTTCCATGAGAGTCTCTTAAATATCAAAAATTCTACAAATTCCTAGCAGTACAGGCTGGTCCAATTTGGACACCTTTGATAGGAAACATCATGTTAACTAAGCGCTAATTTCAACTAAAACCCTTCATTTTGAGTATTAGTTTATTCAGAAACCATCAAAACATTGGAAAATTAAGTATAACTATGGTAATTATGCGTAACAAAAATGAGTGCGCAAAGAGTTTACTTTGCGCACGCAAGTAGAAAAAATAATTTAAAAAACGCATAAAAACATATTCAAAACAAACTTACTTGGCCGCCACGCCACATTGAATTTTCCTTTTTGACAGATGGATTGAAGTGCCTAATGGCGGCGATTTCTAAAAACGAGGCCGATAAGCAATCCTGTTGGTATGTATCATCCTTGCGTGAGTCGTGTGTCACGGCCTTGAAAATTAACTCCTAGAACGCGGAAGTTTCACCCCAAAAATATGCATATGATTCTATTCACTACTATCAGTTAAGTTCAGAACAAAGTCAGTTAATATGTGAGTCGCAGGACAAAGGTATCGCTCTCACTTATGTTAAAGAATAGGCCTAAAAGTGTTGGGCTCGACTTGCTTACTCCATTCACTCCGAATCCGTATACACTCGTCACTCTAGCTATTCGGTGGCCGAGTTCGTTTTTGTCATCTTTTCCGTCGATTTGCTCCGAAATTTTGACAGGCACGTGACTGGATAAGACAGTTTCAAGTTACAAATCACGTGCCTGTCAAAATTTCGGAGGAAATCGACGAAAAATATGACAAAAACGAACTCGGCCAGGTATTTCTTTTTGCTTTTTGACGTAAGTAGAGTGACTCTGCGTTCCTCTATGTAGAGTAGAGTGAATGGAGCTTACACCAAAATTTCCACCCCAGTGAGGAAATTTTTTAGAGCATGTAGTAGCACGCAAACATGCATGTCTTTGAATCAAACAGGTTGGTCATGTGCTAGTTTAAGCATTGCAATTTGCATTTTAAAATGGTTATGAGCAATGGAGTACCTACGCATTAACCAAGAGGGGTTTGAGAACAAAACAAAGACTGAGTTCGGTTTTACACTCTGAGTGCGCTCGAAATGATAAGATCCTGTTCCCTTTAGCCCTCAGGTCCATTACTAATTTACCTACCAGTTTACTACTAAAATGAAATTAAAATCAAAACAAAACAATTTTTTTGAGATTAGCGACAACTGTGACAAGGGTTTCAGGATTTTTTTTCGATCTGCGTTCGGCTTATGACCTTGTTCATGGCGCACTCTGCGTATGACGTCACGATATTTAAGGTCATACCGTTACGCTCCGTGGAGTGCAAAGCCGAACTCAGCTAAATAGAATTATTGCTCTGAACGTTCGGTGGCCATTTGCACCGACCTTTTTAAGGGAGGCTTAACGATAAGTATACCTTAAAATGACAGTTTTACATGTAAAAATGTCACTTTAAGGAATACTTATCGTTAAGTCTTCCTTAAAATGGTCGGTACAAACG